ACACACACACACACACACACACACACACACACACACACACACACATCTTTGAAAAAAAAATAATCATAAAAAGTTGAAAGCCAGAATTTCTCACTTCGCAAACAACAGGCACACAGAGACGTAAGCCTACATGATGCAGCCTAGCCATAATTATATATCACCGCCATATAAAGCAAGACAGGAAAGATTATCATCATCATCGTCATCATCATCATCATCATCATCATCATCATCATCATGTAGCAATGTAGCAAGACAGGAAAGATCCTCATATAGTCGGCCTACAGTTCACACGTAGCCTACTTAGCCCAAAATTTTTAATATGAATATAATAGTAGTATTTGTATAGATCAGATCTAGCAGTTTCTTAATCCCTGGTAGATATAGATATATATATATATATATCTGTTGCAAGTGCTCCAGGAATATTTCCTTGAAATTCAAATTCAAAATGCTGAAAAAAGCGACACAAGATACATTATGTAGGTTACATTTTTTTAAAAATGAAAGTTCTTTTTATAATCTCCCCTGAAAAAAAGGAGAACTTTCTGTGCTTAATTAAGTCAGTTAACCTGCTTGACGACGATACAATCATAAGAAGGAAAAAACCCCACAAAACAATCTTGACATTTCTGAAAGTCCGGGCGTGTAGAAAAGTGACACCCCGGGAAATATGAACACGGAACAATTAATGTAGCTCATTGACATTTAAATTAAATAAATAATATGCACTGAGTGTTTTACCTAGCGCTCTCAATTGTCTTGCGTGAGTTTCTCTGTCTACTCGTCTGGTGCAACGGGCAACAACAAACATCAAAAATTAAAAAACCAATAAGTCTTTTCATTCAAACACAACACATCGCGTGTACATTTAGATGATATTATTAGTACTGAACTTAAACTTTAAGTCCTGGGATCTGCTGCTAAATCACCGATCCCCAAAATCGTAGTCTATACAGGTAGACGTTCAAAATACGTCCTTATGTATCACTAGCAATACAAGTGTTGGTGAGTTAAATAACCCTAGGCTTATAATTTTTCCAACAAATCTTTAAGAAATATTCTGTTATAACTATATAAAATTTACAGTTATGAAAAGCGTTCTACTGTCAAAGTTACAACAACATAAAGTAAATCGTTTCTTTAATTAAGAAAGACTAATGATGAGTCATTACACTCTAGCTACCAGTTGAGACATAAGTGAAAACTGCTACATTGACTAGATCTATATTATTATCATTATTATAATCGTAACACTAAAGTGATATATATTATTATATATTTCTATACTCTTGTTATTCTCCATGAAACTTGAAAGACTTCGAGAGACAAGTTTGTTTCTAGCCTTAACGTGCAACATTCTAGTCTATAAACTTTTTAATTAAAACACGAATGGTAGGAGTAGGAGTAAAACCATATAATCAGAAAAGAAGAAATATTCGGGGGATGGGAGAAGAAGCTAGACACTACACGGGGTGCAGTAATTGTTGAATACACAGGGCTGTGCTACATTGGAAGACAAAGGGGAAGACCTCTCTGCTTTTTTAAAATTTAATTTTTTAAATTACGAAACAGAGAAAAAATGAAATTTTGTTTGTGAACACTTCAGTGCTTATCTCTTACCATCTTTTTTAAAAAAATGGTTACATACCGTCTAGTGGGCACATTGCGAACACACACCTAGTGAAACATGCACATAACTTACACATTTTCAGTTCCCGATTTTTTTTTCTTATTTTCTTACATATAATAATATTATATTCAAAATACAAGTACGTACAGGCAACGAAATTCGTACGTAACGAAAAGGTTGCCGATTTCGATGTGACTGTTTTATTTTGTTTTAATTTTTTTGTCTCCGGCAGACTTCTGAAGTTTTCCGTATGATATATTTATGATAGATAGCCAAGGCCCATAGCAAAATCCAAGTGACAAAACCCTAGAAAATGTATAAAAGAAAAAAATAGACATCTGTGATATCCCCATCTTTCTCTTCATTTGTATGTGGCGGGAGGGAACAGATTGGTCTAGAGGCGAGGTTGGGATCATGAAAGGGGGAATCATTTCACACATAAGAGGGGGG